TKMTWTYKSKGTGYSMCACRAGGGTCTGTTTTTGTTCCTTGTTTCTACAATATTTATCAATGATATTCAAGATGGCCTGGAAAGCACTTAACGCCTTCTTGTTGAAGTGAGTCCATTGTTTTGTTAAAGTAGCTTTAGGCCTTTTTCMTACTTTAGTCCAGTCTTTTGTTTCTCCCCATTATCGACAATTTACATTGACTTTGACACACGTWGGATTCGACGTTCGAATATAAACTAGTGAACTAAGGTATTCATATCGATGAACGGTACTAGTCACACATGATAAGCAGACTCACATACACTAGATAAAGAAAAATCTCCTTCTACTACAGTTGTCTACAAAATACCGCTCAATGGTGTTGTATCTTTAATGACGTCATTAACCGACATGTCTTTGACAGTATGACGTCATTACGAAAGTCATCAGTCGTGAAGCCTTCAGTTTGAAGTGATTTGTTGAGCGTGTTTATTAATTATATATAATGGGTTTGTTAAGTGTTCAGGTGTTTCATCCCTATGTCCTTTTGGTAGAGTATCTTCCGTGAAATATTACATGCGACCTCCTTGTGTTCTGATAAATTACGAGCCAATTAAATTACGCCTTCTAAAGACGTTGTGCCTCAAAATTAACGATTACTCAGTACATAACACCTTCCTTGTTCAGGACTGACAAAATGTTTGTTTGTTATTGTTCAGTTGAGCATGTTTTATAATCCGGCAAAGCCGATTTCCAACGTCACATACTTCACATTATTACCTTAMRAATAATAGGCAAGGGGTRCCCTTAAAAMCAAAGACAAAAATACGAYAAGTACTAAACAACATCTAGACGACAAGAGAAGCAGRGCAATAGRCAAGCGTAGAGAGRATGWTTTTCTTGAAAGTCTAAGAGAATCTTCAATGTGGACTCCTTTTCTTACTTATCAGSGCAYATTGAAAGGTCTTTGGAGTGAAGCGAGACARCCATTGAGCCTGTGTTGCATTTCAAGATGKCGCTGGCAACGGTAACAAGGTTCTATAACCTGTTAAATGTTCAATAAACGCATAWCCAACGACCTTCATTGAAACAATGGCGATTCCCTGATTGAGGCGAATATCTGTTGATTCAGATCTTTTTGTTTTCGGCAGCCCAATACTTAACTAAAATTAACTAATAAMGTTGAAAGGTTTTTATAATACAATTTGCAATCCATAAAACGTCGATACTCAAGTCAGTTCAATGAACATTCATGATTCTGTGAGATTCGAAAATWGCGTGCGCTTTGTTGGCGGGCTCACAGTTCACACTGCGACATAACCAAATGACAAACACCTCACAGGCAAGACAAAAGGGCATTGTTTTTTTGTTTGTTTTGTTGTTGTTGTTGATGTCATATTGTGAATCAGCCCTCTTGTAGTCTGCCTCTAAACAGAATCCACAGGAAAGTTTCACATCCTCTCAGTCATGATTACAATGCTTGTTACGTCAGGGAGGAAAAATGTCGAATATTCCGGACGACAAATGCTGGATCTCTTAAAGAAATCACTTCTTTGATGCGTTCTCGTTGCGTTTTTTAGTTCTTGAGGATCAAGGACCATACGATACTACGCATCATTAATAATGACGCGCCATGCAGTGCGTTTTAACGGCGTTTTTGTACCGTGCTCAACAATTATTCATAAGTACAAAGTGTTCACATTTACCGAACTCAGTGGAAATTCKTCCTATTATGTTTCTTATCATTCCGTCAATTAGTTTGCCTTTCTTGTTTCATACTGTTAATAACGTGCAATTTGAGTTYATTTATAAAGTATGGTACGTTTAATCGCAATGGAAACGTTTGAAACCACTATAGATATGAACTCGTACATCTTACGTACCAAGCATTATTTCATTCATGTATTTACATGGTTTGCAAGATTAATCAATGTTTGTCACATAAGGCGATGAYGATTATCATTTAACTTCTTTTGTCTTTCTTATTTGATGGTTAGCACGGAATGACGATAAAACCCATATCAACCGTTAAACGTGATGCGATAAAAGGGCTGACTGAACTGAGAAATCAAATACAAGAATTGAAATATTCGATGAAATCGCTGGATTTCTTGAGACGTTGATAGCACGAGTCAACTAGCAAAATATGTCAACAAAATGACGGGAGAAAGAATCATGTTGTATGCTGGGAAGAGTGCGGTCCAGACATGGTAATGCCATAAAGATCGTCTCTTCGGCCATCAATATTGCAAGAAATACAGTATCAACTCGTTAAAAATTTCCTTTTAAAACCGCAAAATTATCACAACAGTCCCGGAAAYGCTGCGATAAAACATCAGAACTTCCCCGCATCTTACTTACATTTCCATCATTTACCACTCTATTAATCAATAATCCCAATATTTAGAAGAATGTCGATATTTACTGCAAAGGATGAAAGACGTGTATTTGAATCATGAAATCGTTGCTATTAATAAATCATGTTTTTGGGTTTATAGATGAAAGGTTTATGCAAATCATTCACATAAGCCCTTTAAATTGAAAAGTGAATTTGATTTTCACCGATAAATCAGTTGAAATCCCGTCTAACGTCATTCTCTSAGCCGATATCAATAACAACAAGTTGATGTGAGGAGATTGCGACCGAAAACCCTTTTCACGATACAAACACCGGAAAGCAAGACTTAAACGCACGCTYACTCCACGATCTTGTCATCTCTTTTCGCGTCGAAATGTTMAAAAAGTCAGGTAGATAAGACAGAATATTTSTTTGTGACTAACCTTGTATTCTAGACTGAAATACTCTCCAGCAGACCCAGGAACTTTACGATACTTGATCGAAGAGACTCCAAAAGAATTTCACCTGYTTGACTTCGAAATATTTTCAATATTCAAAATTAACGCGATTCAACTTTTGTATTTGAGTTAATGAGCTTGTATTTACGAGTATTCTATATTACCAGTTATTTGCTTGTAGAGTAGTATAGTGTGGTCTAAATAAGCCCTTTAGTATTGCGCGCATGGACAAATGACCAAGAATKAAGTATATGCCGACCATGCATTATTCATACCAAGCGGTATTGTGAGTGCCTTTAAGACAATTCAAATTAATCGTAGCAATGAAAAAGTATAATTTTAAAAATTCACAAACTAGTGAATGTTATATATATGAGACAAGGCGACAGCATTACTTGATTGAATGATTGAACCACGCTGAGAAAACCCRACGCTAAAAGTTKAAATTGTTATTTTTCAAATAACCTCGCAACTATATTAATTTRAAATCTCTTGGGGGTGTTAATTTGCAACTTTGATATGCAATATTTACAGGGAGTTACCGTATTTGTCAGCATATTATCTTCAAATCATCACAACTTGTAAACAAATTGGTTGGTTGCTCAATAGAAATTGTGTTTTTCTTTGCGTAACAAACCCGCAAATCATTTCATGATTTTCTTAATTCTTATCTTTAAGGATAGATTGTTGTTGTATCTATTATGATTAGTTTTATTGCTATCTAATAATTACTGTAACCCTGAAACAGGAAATTTGCGCCATTTTCTGACGCAAAGCATAATGGTCAATACTTTAAGATGTACGCGTCATGTCTTGAAGGTTTGTTTATACAAATAGCAGTCAGCTCGTCGAAAACAAAAACAACAAAGYAAAAAAACATACARWACAAAAACAAACAAACAAGCAAACAAWAAATAARTAAATAAATGAATAAAAACGACAAAACAACAACAATGACAAGAAAAGAACGGATTTTGTGGAATTTATTTCAYTTTGTTCAAGGACATGGCATCAYTTCTCAGTAGCAGACAAAARGATTTTGTTCTAATTTGCACATTTTTCTCTTTTTAGGCAACGAACACTAGATGATGACGTCCTCATCAAAACGCGGCTGTTCTAGTCGAACCGAGTCTCTTTCGTCCAATGAGCCTTGATCTTTCTTTTTGGTCTTTTCTCCTCAAAACCAAAAACGTTTTAGCATCGCRTTTCAAGTGACTGTTGCTTYGCCTACTTCACCATGRCAACATACAACCAAGAAATGGTTTGGATTTGTTACGGCTTTTAAAAGAAACTCCAAGTCTTCCCACCATATGGGTCTGCTTTGCCCAGGGTCAGCGGACAACATACGTCGCTCTTCATAATCTCCACTTAGGGATGCCCTCGTACAGCTCTAGTTACAGATAGYTTTACAAAAATCCCATGTTATTCTCATGCAAACACTGGAATCAATCTCTCCCATTAGCGGAACGTGGACGCCAAACATCCACTTCCAATTGCCCGTGGCTTTTTCAAGCTCTCTTGCTAAGAACAAGATCCTAAACAAAGTCATCACTAAGAAAATGAGCGATCTTTGAAWGATAGCTATGGATACCGGTCAGTTTCAGGAACCTCATTGGTGGACAGCTTTAACTACGCATTTTCACTTTTCTTTTCCCGAGGAAGAGACAACTGTTAGTCACTACTGTATATCTATCTAGAATAATAATGACACATTTTACATACACTTACACATAGGCGTGMTGCCGGCTAGGCGCTTCCTTTACATAAGCAACGYCAACTGAACGCGGAGYACAGCAGATAGAAATAGTTCGTTTTTACTGAGGGAGGAAAACCCGGAAAACCCTCGAAGCAAGGGAGAGAACGAAAGAAACTCAAATCACATATGGCGCCCCGACCGAGATTCGAACAGGGTCCACAGAGGTGACAGGCCAGCGYTCTCACCGCTCGGCYACCCTTGCTTCTGTATTATCCGAATAAATCATGTCGTGGTACCCTAATTGGCTGCGGTTGTTATTTTATCTAAAAAGACACATGTCATACACACGGCCTTTTAATAACGTTTGTAACAAGGATTAATTCACYGAAGGGCAGTATTGACTACTTTTTGACAGTGAGATACCAAATCCGTGAAACAAAATCTAACCAGTAAAGAGAGTCAAATAGTGTTTTTCATACACCATGCTTCAAGGTTTGTAATGCCGAGTTTGTTATATGATTAGAGGGGTTTTGATAATCACTAAAGATAAAGACAAGTCATGAGATAACAAGACCAAAGAACTGTTTTGGGTTGAATAATTTTATTATTCCAATTACTCTTAAATTAGGATTAGAATAGTCACACGATAATCAAAATCCTAAAAATAACAAGGTTTGGACTTCGTAGTGATAGTGATATACAAAATGCTGACTAATATATAATACTTTAAACTCTTGATTTCCTGTATTTTCAGAGATCATATGATATAAAAGGCCCAATTAGTATATAGGGAAGTCATTAACATACATGGCCTACGGGAAAACACTATTTAACGAAGTAAGGTGGTGTAATATCTAATTCACATCGGTCTTCATAAACCCGTGAAACACTTTATCGTTTCACGCTTTATTTTTCACATTTTAATTTTCGGTGAATAACCCGGCGTTTTTGCCTCTCACACATTTCACGSGTTTACGAAAACCGCTGTAGGTTTTGAACTCTATTTCTGTTTGATATGTGTGTTGTTGATAGGATTTAGATCGTTAAAAAAATCCTGTCTTCTAGTTGGGACCGCAGTAAGACCCAGGGGTTCTAGCTCTCAATACCAGTGGCATTTCCATATATATTTTCTTTCTTGCTTGTCATATCTTCTTGTTTCATAGTTGTATTAGAATGTTTTCTCTTTACTCTATTGGCAACACAGGCTATCATGAATTGCTACACCATTTGTGTTTCACGGGTTTMAGAGAGTACTTTTATCGCTACTATCACCATAACCACTACAATATCAATTAATCCTCGAAATACATACATTAAACCCATGAAAATCTTATAGTCAAATTACAACGATTTAAAGGATATTTCACGGGTTTAGCTCTACAACGTTAAGAAATACAGCAATACTTGCAATGTCTGCCAATCAGTCAAACAACAGTCAGTTGTTATGCTGCCCGTCGATATGGCGCCCAGGTAGTTAATAGGGACTATACCCGGAGGGTAGACGTCCATTTGAACCTAGAGTTGCGGTAATCAAACGCTTTAATTTGTACGCGGTAAATAAAGACCTTTTAGCGAGATAAACGTACAAACTAGAAATCCATCTTACTGAAAAAAAGCTTACATACAAAAGATGATATTCAAGAAATCCAAACCTTCTGAAGCAATACTGATTCTATAGAGAGAAATCGCTGTCGAATTGAAAAATTGAATTGATTGAATAATTMAAGTCATTCTAACCTGCGACACWSAATGACTTCAGTCAGCGTTGAYAAAATCCTTCAATCTGTTTGTAAACAAATACATTTTAGCGCGGTGAGAAGCACTGACATAACCTCTTACCTTGATGGATTTGCCTATAAAAAGAATTAAAAATAAGATGGATTTSATCAGGTTCAAGTCAGGTCGCTCTTTTTCCCTAAAGCGATGTYTGATTTTATATCAACAAAACAGACACGAACGAATAATCAAAAGACCCGGTAACTTCTAAAAAGCCAATTAAGTGTCGGTCGTTCGAACACTCAAATGGCTTTTTGCGTTTTAAAGTGTCACATGTTAGATTACGKTTAATAYCGAGYGTTTTCAGCCTGGAAATAATGTTATAGTTTCCATTTGAATATTATCATCAACATTATTATCATCATCATAATCAGCATCATCATTGTCATCTTATCTTCATCATTATTATGCCTAATGGACTGTTACTCTATGAACTACCCAACAACATAACTATTCTAAATTTTACTCTATTGTTAGTTCCCATTTTAATATTATCATCATTATTATTATCATCATCATAATCAYTGTCAACATATCTTCATCATTATTATGCCTATAGAGTCTGTTGTAGCCATTTATAATGATTATGATTTTAGTCAATCATTGTTCACACGAGCAACAGAAAAGCAAGCCGAGTGCAAAGGAAAGGCAAAGGAATGAAGTCCTCGGTCACAGCATTACAGTGCGGCCACTGAAACCGGCTCAACCTAGAGAATACAAAATCCCACMACTTAGAATGAAAACAAAGAATTCAAACTAAGGGAACCTCATCTCATTAAGTCGGTTTTAGTTCTTTGAAATCACTGATTATCATTCTTTAGTTTTTTTTAAGCCTTGTTTTCACAATCGAAATTGTGATTATTTTACATTGTCTACGTGGCCCCGGTTCCAGTAGCCGCACTGTAAGCATGTGCGGCTAAATGAACTAAACGAACAAACCAATACCTAAATCTATTGTTGTATTCAGATTACTGCGTAGTCATGGGAACAAGACTTTATGAATTAATGTACATTTTTCTTCCGCAAGCAATTAAAAAAACAATACAAATCATGAACGTCAATCATTAACAAAGTAACAAAAGAAAGAATCAAATGTAAACAAAGACACTGCAGACAAACGCGCGCATTAACAACGAAACAATCGAAAGAATCAAATGCAAACAAACCCACTGTAGACAGACGCGCGCATCAACAACATAACAATCGAAAGAATCAAATGTAAACAAA